GACAAAATTCTACAGCCCTCTGGCTAAATTTACCGCACCGCAGCTCATCTCCCTCCTCCCTTTCTGGCCCATTTCGCATTCTCTTAGTTTTGAAGGTGCAATATGACAAAAATTAGACTAAAACAGTACACAAAGCTCTTACAAAGTATTTTATATATGCATGAAAGATATCAAAAATTTTTATAAAATATATATGAAAGATGACTCAAAAAAAAAATAATCAGCTAGACAGGAATGTTTTTGCTCATAGAGCCGTATAAACTTTTCGTTGAGCACCATAATTGGACCTAATCAGCACGGCAGATGTGGCCATAACTGATTTTAAGTGAAACATTTTTTTAAATATACTTGAAATAGATAAAAATTCATCTTTTTTTTTTATTGATGGATAAGCTATTTTGCCGTCTGTTCCTCTTTTTTCTTCTAATAATGCATAAGGATTTTTCCCGCTCTAGCACTAAATAGGAGTTTCCAAAAGTGCGTAAAAATGACAAAACAGGCAAAATTACGAGTGCGTGATAGCGAGACGCGGACGGGAAAAGAATTCACGTGGCCCTTCCAGCTGCTTTATAGATATCGAGGTGACTGGATCAGACACAACAGTAGCAACACGAACGCTGAATAAATAAAAATTTTTATTTACAGAAGAATCAACTTCCTGTACAAACAACAACAGAAATAACCCGTAGCAGAGTGGGATCCAATTTGCGCACGACAAAGCACAGAACTGGAATAATCGTCAACGCAAAACAGTGAAAAAGAAGGGAAGGGGAGGTGGAGGGGGGAGCGGTGGTTGGGGGGGAGGAGAAGGAGCCGGAGAGTGGAACTGTGTTTTCTGGATCCAGTGCCTCTGTCATGCTCCTCGCATTTTGACAAATCAACTTTCATGCGCTACATGAAAAATTTGTCTTCTTATTCGAATTAATCCCGAAAATTTTTTCAATACAGGCAGGAAATCCAACCGGAGGTAGACAAGTCGAAAATGAACAGCCTGACGTAGCTGCACCTGGTCTCTGGGAGTATCCCAGCAATACGTCAATACATACGGTAGCCACTCGAATTGTCTAGACAGTCGTTTTCTTCGAAACAAAAATCTCGGCATAAAAAAATGCAACAAAGGCAGCAGTAAAACCGGTTTTGGTATTTGAGGCAAATCCAACAACATTTTTGGGGACAGAAAAAGGATGTGAATTTCAGGACTTTATACAACTAAAAGATGGGCAAATGCGCTCCCTCTCCTTAAATGAGCTGCGCCAGCTCAAAAATACATA